CCGTGTGTGTGGGGTCAATTTTTTTTTTCTTTTTTCTTCCCAATCACAACTCTTTCGTGTGTGCGCGCGCGCGAGAGAAAGAGAGGGGGAAAGGTGTGTGTGTGGTGGTGGGGGGTGTTTTGGTGATGGGAGGGGTTGTCAATCACTTCCCTTAGGAAAATTGGGGCTACATAGAGCGTGCGGATCCTCTAGAGTAACTCTCTAGAGTGATCTCCTAAAGTGGATGATCGGACGGTTGTGCTTAAGCCTCACCAAAACGACGTCGTTTTGGTGAGGATTTTCAAAAAAAAAAAAAAAAAAAAACATTTTCCTGATTTCAAAATTCCCCCCAGGCTGAAGAGGTATATCAGACGAGCGGGAAGAAGCAGAGCTGCGAAAGAAGGAGAGAGGGAAGAAGAGTTAGAGAGGCTGCTCCGTCGTGCATCCCGTCGCCCCACCGTCGCAGTCGCCCCGCTGTCGCTGCCGTTCCGTAGTCTTCCCGTCGCCCCACCGTCGCAATCGCCACTGTCCTGCCGTAAGTTTCGGTCTCTCATCTCATTCCCTATTCCTCTCTCTCTTTGTTCTATTATTGTCTACCAACAAGTTAGGGTTTTCTATTTCATGTATTGCTTAAATCATTGATTTGCACCCTTTATACACATATATGTGTGTAGATATATATGTATTTCAATCTTATTTCAGTTTTGCTTGTAGATTTTACACTCAATAATCTCTCGAAAATTGGTATATGAGTTTGTTCTTTGTTTCGTTACCCTCTGTTTGGTTACCTGGAAAACGAAGAAAAAGAAGGAAAACACCAACATTGTTGTCTTACTCACTCAGTTGGAATGCTCACACACCAACTGTTTGATAATTTGCTCCTTCCAACTGTGCACACATCACGCCCAATCCTACCTTAGTTTCACTATTTGTTCTAGTCCATTAGCTGTTAAATGAACTCATAGCTCTGCTCAACTTTCGTACCTGACCCAAATGACATTATTCCTTCTTGGCCTCTGGATTACAGCAAACTGTAAGTCTATAACACTGCCACAGGGCGAAGATTTAGATTACACAACATACATTACACACACACGGCGACTTAAATTCAAACTCGAAGATAAATTACAATCAGTACGGCCAAGTGATACAAGTTCATACTAAAAATCCCAGCAGGATACTGCATTGCAGTCATTCATGATCTGCATTCTTCATGACTTCACGACTATAACAGGACAAGCAGCATTGTTCAGCACGTAGTTGCTAACACTGCCCATGATAGCCCTAAAAATTTGAAATCAAACAAAACCAAAAACCAGTCAATTTCAATAGATAACATGGCGCGCAATCATGGTCTGAATTACGTTCCATTTGAAACTAATCAAAGAATGACATTGTATCAGCTTCAAGGGAGATTGTTTCCCTTGAGAAAATAGGACATTAAAATGAAAGTAACACGATGATGGATGCTCTTCTTGTTAAGTAACACGATGATGGATGCTCTTTTTTTCAAGCTCCACCCTGAGAGCTTATCCATGAAGAAACTTTAACACTGTATTTGGATCATAGACTTGGGTAGAGGTGTATGAAGAGAAAAGAAATGGGAAGTAAAAAGTGAATTAAATTTAACTACTACTTCATACACTTTTCCCATCTCATTTCTATTCCCTCAACAAATTCCTCCCTAAGCACAATGAGAGTTCATCCAAAAAATGTATAATTTCTTTATGTCAAAAAATGATCAAGTTTGCAGTTAGGGATGAGCACTACAGCATTGTTAGTGGGTAGTTGATTGTGGCCACTTTGGCATTGCTTGTTATGGTTGTCGTGTTGGTTCCTCACCACATGGACAGTGATGAGGAATGATAAAGTATTCACTTCTATGCTAATTTAACTAGGATTGAGCTGTTATACTGTGATAACTTGACTTTCCTAAGACACTTGTTAATAACTTGTTTTTTATGCAGAAAAAAAGGCTTCATCTTCTATTGATAATACGAACTTAAGATTAAAGCCAAGGTTTTGTAATTGTGGAAGAATAGCTTACGCGCGTATTGTACGAACCAATGCGAATGGAAATAAAGGACGTGTCTACTTTGTTTGCCCAAGAAAATATGTAAATACCTGTTATATAAATGAATCTGTTACTTTTTACAAATTTCATTTGTCTTTTATTGATTAATTGATTCTTGTCCATTGTAGGATTCGAACGACCATTGCAATTACTTCAGGTGGTTCGCAGATGACGACGACGACGACGACGACGACGACGACGACGACGACACTACCTCATCAATCCGTGCCAATGCTGGACCTCGGACAGATTCAAGAATAGAAGAAATTAATGATCTAAGGACAAGGCTTGGTGAGCATGATAGAAGGCTTCAAAGGATTGAGAACATCTTGAAGGCAATGACTTATGTCATTATATTTTGTGTATTTTTGTACTTTATCATGTAAATGACTCAGTTCTTAGGTTTTGGAACATCCTATGAATGTTGAAAAATCTAGAAATCCCCTAGATGTTGATTTGTGATTATTTATCAATTTAAGCAGAATATAACAATCCCAATCAAACAATCAAGACAAAACGACACAATGATTTTAACGTGGAAAAACCACAATTGGACACCTCCAACTGTGATTAAAAAACCACGGGCAACAGCCACAAAACAATCCACTAAAGAAGATTTAAAGGAATTACACAGGTATACTCTCAATTACCTATGTTGAAAATGTTGAATGTTGTATAACAGGTTTCTGAAGTCTATTGAAAATGTTGAAATGTTGAATGTTGTATAACAGGTTGCTGTATTAAATGAAATGTTCAATGTTGTATAACAGGTTTCCCAAAGCAGAATTTTAAAATCTGCAACAGTTTAAAAATCTACAGCATTATAAAAGCTTATTCTAAGTCTTGCCTAGCATCATCCACACAGAATTTAAATCTGCAAACAGAATTGAAGCAAAAATTCTGTCAAGTATTTAAGCAAAAATTTGTATTGCCTTGCATCATCCAGACAGAATTTAAGCAAGAATTTAAGCATTATAAAAGCAGAATTTAAATCCATCAAAGCTGCAAACAGAGATATTGCAACTCTAATTCTATTTCAGCAAAAAAATCTGCAACAGTTTAACTCTATTTCAGCAGCATTTCATCAACTCTATTTCAGCAACATTTGAGCATTATTCAAGCAAAAAATTTGCAACAGTTTAACTCTATTTCAGCAACATTTCAACTCTATTTCAGCAATTTTTCAGCAACAAATTGAGCAACATTTTAACTCCATTACAGCAACATTTCAGCAACTATTTCAGCAACATTTCATCAACTCTATTTCAGCAACATTTGAGCATTATTCAAGCAAAAAATCTGCAACAGTTTAACTCTATTTCAGCAACATTTCAACTCTATTTCAGCAATTTTTCAGCAACATTTTAACTCCATTACAGCAACATTTCAGCAACAGGTTCATGAAAGGTTTTCAATATTACATATCCAACAAAAAATTCACAAAAATTTCCAAAACAAAATAACGCTAAGATGTTGACGTGTGATCCATATGCCCATGCCCACGCCCACGCCCACGACCACGACCACGACCATATAGTACCTACAAAAAAAAATAATAATATTACGTCAAAGGAACCATAAAATAAATTGGAACTTTAAATGAATGAATGACAAAATAAAAGAGGAAAGGTGAAAAATAAATTACTTCACTACATGCGGGACTATTTGAGGCTTGCGAGTGATAACTACTTGCATTGTTAAGCAATGCTTGATAGGTTCCATGGACGGAATACATCGATGGCATGGAAAAATGCATATTGTGATGAAGAAAACTTGGCTGCAACAATAACAAACATATATCAATTTCAAATGATAATACTCACCTACAAATCTCTACTAAAACTTCTTATTAAACTAACTTACATCATAGGCGGGATACATAAATTGAGACGAAGAAGCTCTAACTTCAGGAACACTCGGCGAGAATGGAGGAAGTTGAGGAGCACCTGAAAATAAAGGAGCCGACTGAGGAAATAAGGGAGGTGCTTCAGGAGCACTTACCGAAAATAAGGGAGGAGTTTGAGGAGTAACAAACATGGAAGTTTGAGAAGCATTATATGAACGTGTTTTATTTTTCTTTGCCAACGCAAGCTCCAAACCACCTTTTATCCGCCTTCGTCCCTTGCAAGTGCACTCTCTTCTCTTGAGTCCTTTTGCTTGAACTACATTTTTATCCGCTACACCATCCACTTCAAAGCTTTCGGGGGGGCTTTCTTCTTGAATAGTATCCGAACAAGGCATATTGAATTTTGCGCTTAACATGGTTTCAATGTCTGCAATTAATTCATCCGCTTTCTCGACCGTCAAATTATATGTTTCCTCACTTTCAGAAGCTCTACACGCTACTGATCTGAATATTGCCATCAATGATCTATAACGTGAAGTTTGATGCAATCTTACATCAACCTGAATATCATGCCCACACCTATTTTTCACATTTTCAGATCTTGCTTTTTTAGTCCATCTCTTCAGAATATATTGTGAAGGAATCTCTTTGAATTTGAGTCTTTCTCTAAGGATCTTCAAACAATGACTACACAAAATGCCCTTCATTTCAAACTTCCTACAACTGCAAGTGATTGAATCATCACACTCATGCCTCACCTTCCTCACCTTTATACCATCACTATCAAAAACGGTACTCTCACCATCATTTTCAATTTCTTCAATGTTTACTTCAAGGGACTTGACCTACTCATCCTGAAATTCTTCAAAAATTTTATTTGTGTAAATATCTGCAGCTTGCTCCATAATTTTCACTTTAATATTCACCCTTGGCAACTTTTGGCATAGAGCATATTCGGCTTGTAACTCTTTGTACCTCTTCTCAGATAGAACTCAATCAAAATGCATGAAAAATTGCATTAAGTTATGATCAGACTGAATGAAAATCCTTCAAGAAAGCATTAAAGGATTCACTAAGTTGGGTGCTACTCATGCCCGCACCCTATGTATTTCTAACATATGGCAAACCCCATTTTTCCTTCACCCCAAATGTTAACTTCAACCAATGATTATCTTTTACTTCACACTTGTCAAGCATTTCCTCCCATTTTAACGTAAACTCTTCCTCATCCTCAATGTCGTACATAAATGTGGATAAAACACTCTTCATCCCCTTATCCTTCACCGCCTTATCCTTGAAGATAGAATTTGCATGCCTTAATGCATTTTGCATCAAATTCCAAGTGCAAAGGCAGTGGGTTGTGTTAGGCATAACAATAGGTATGGCCTTAGCCATTACAGCATCCTGATCCGTAAAAATTGTTTTTGGAGCCTTACTTGACATTGTCTCCAAGAATCTTCTAAAAAGCCATACAAAAGAATCGGCGGTCTCATCATACATCAAAGCTGCACCAAATATCACAGTTTCCCTATGATGGTTAAATCCAACAAAAGACGCAAATAGTCTATGTGCACTATTTAACTTGTAAGTAGTGTCAAAAGTCACAACATCACCAAATTACCCATAATCCATGATCATTTGAGCATCGGCCCAAAATATGTTTGTAATCTGCTCCTCGTTATCTAATTGGACCGAGTAAAAAAAAAGATGGATTCTCCAATGATTTGTCACGAAAATATTGCAAAATGCTACCTGCCTCCCCTTATGCTAAACTGTTTTGCCTCTTCGTTTTCAAATAATTTTATTGGTCCAGTTTTGTGAACCCATGTGACTCTCTTCCACCAACTTCATTACCCATGAGCTCAAATGCAGCATTAAGACGGATTCCAGATTTTTCGGCTAAATCTATTTCGATTGCTTGTGATGCAGATATCTTCCTTTGGGATGGTAACATATGCGTACATTCTGTTGGTACAAAGATATGATTATGTTGTTCAACAAAATCACTAACAAAAAATTTCTGCATATTCTTATCCCACTTAATGACAAGTCGGGCTTGACAACCAGTCCTCACTTCCTGCCTAGGATTTTTTGTTAATGAATCTCGCTTGTCGACAACCCGAAATCCCTCCTTATTACAAACAAATTGCCTTGAAGTGATTTGCCCCTCTTTGCTCTTGTTTACATAACCCCTTCTAATACTAAAGCCCAACCTTCCTCCATAAGTATTATAGAAATCATATGCTTCTTGTTCTGTATCAAATGTCATGCGAACTCTAGGCTTCCAATCACAATCACCCCTATCATTCTCAACATTGTTAGGTCCCATTTCAATGTGCCAAGTAACTAAATAAATAAATAGGTGGTCAATATTAGCGTAAAAACACTAAATTATGTTTCCAAAATAATACAAAAATTAAGAAGTGCTCAATATTAGCATAAAAACTGTAAATTATGTTTGCAAAATAATACAAACTAAATAAGATAAACAACGAATAAAAGAAATTAGATAATCAAGGCAAACAAAAAAAATAGAAATTAACAAAAACCAAATGCCAAGTGCAATATGCTATCTTTGTGGTTAGAGTTGCAGTAACAAACTTCATTTGAGGAGGGTCAAACTTTATCAATAAAGTAGGATAGAAGAGAAATAAAAAGAGTTGATGCCATTTATATATGAATGGAATGTGGGCTATGATTAATGTCAAATAATTTCTTTTCCCAGTATTGCTTGGTAGAGAAGGGCACAAATGATACATTTTGCATTAGCTATAAAACTTAAAGAATGAGCCTTAACTCTTATGAGCCTATAACAAAAACTACAGAACGTCATAACAAGTTTCTAGCTTGTATGTTTGTTACAGAGATTTATCTACACAATATGTTTGTCAAGTTTCATTTTACTTGAAATTCTATCAGAAGAAGAAAGAAGCACCTATAAAACACATTGAGGAGCAACCCCATTGAAAAAAAAAAATTGATTAATGAATATCTGATAAAAAAATACATGTTCCCTCAGATGTTGATTAATGAATATTTGATAAAAAAATACATGTTTGTTACAAAGAAGCACCTTCTCAGATGTTGCCAGTGGTGGACGTTTCTTTATATGTTCCCTCAACCCAATTAATGAATATCTGATAAAAAAATACATGTAATGACTACAAAGAAAAACAATGACTACAAGGAAACTTCAGGATGTAAATTGCCTATGTCCACTTAAGAAACAGGAAAAAAAAAATGTTGTTTGACAGAGAAATAATCTGGTTAAATTTGCATACAGAGATGGGAGAGCTTCACGTTGACTTACATAAGCATACAGAGCTGAACCCATTTTTTTCCTAAGATTGCTTCACGTTGACTTATATATAATGTATAATGTATATATATATATATATATATCTATTATCACAGGGATTGAGCAATATATATCAGCAAGATTGAAGCAACATTTGTGTGGAGCAATATATATCAGCAAGATTTCAGCAAAAAAGGCAAGATTTCAACATAAAATTATATATATAATATAATCACCTTTATATTGCAGGGGCAGGGGCAAATGGCTTGACAACAATTGGAGCAGGGGCAACGGCCACGGCGGCGGCAACGGTGGGCCGACAGGACGCTTTTCGCGACGACGGCCAACTCTTCTTCACTCTCTCTTTCTTTATTTGATTCTTTCCACCGTCTGTATAGCCGTGTGTATACATATAGAGGGAATTTTGAAATTCCATTTGAAACCCCTAATTCTGATTTTTTTTTATTTTTTATTTTTTGAATTCTCACCCAAACGACATTATTTTGGTGAGATTTAAGGACAACCATCCGATCATCCACTCTACGATATCACTCTAGTGAGTTACTCCTATAGGATCCGCACGCCTACATAGAAGGCGAATAACGTTGTGACGCGTAGGTCCGAACTACACGAGTAGAAGATGACTCGTGTACCAGACTCCAGACTCTTTTCACTTCCGCTGTAACTCGGCGATCGTTTCACAACTCAACGGCGAACCGGTGATACAATAGCAGCTTGAGATTGTGAACTTCCAAAACTCGGCCATGGCGATCGATATTGTTCCTCCTCTCATCGGCGCACAGCTCAATTACCTCGTCACTCACTCTCCTCTCCCTATCAAGGTAAGCCTTAAGCACATTTCTCTCACAAACTAGGGTTTCATTTTGGCATTTTCTAAACCATAGATCAAAAATTGCTTGCATTTGATGTTATCACTCTAGTGAGTTACTCTATAGGATCCGCACGCCTACATAGAAGGCGAATAACGTTGTGACGCGTAGGTCCGCACTACACGAGTAGAAGATGACTCGTGTACCAGACTCCAGACTCTTTTCACTTCCGCTGTAACTCGGCGATCGTTTCACAACTCAACGGCGAACCGGTGATACAATAGCAGCTTGAGATTGTGAACTTCCAAAACTCGGCCATGGCGATCGATATTGTTCCTCCTCTCATCGGCGCACAGCTCAATTACCTCGTCACTCACTCTCCTCTCCCTATCAAGGTAAGCCTTAAGCACATTTCTCTCACAAACTAGGGTTTCATTTTGGCATTTTCTAAACCATAGATCAAAAATTGCTTGCATTTGATGTTTCAGGTTGAGCAGATGTGGTCTGGATCCAAGCACAATGGCTTGCTTGATCGCTTTACTTTAGCCATTCCCTTTTGCCTCGACTATATCAGATGTCAGTTTGATTGTTCTTCTTCTATACATAGAACAAATGTACGATTCTTACTTGATTGTGATTAATTTTTTGAGTTTTTTGATGGATTTGATTGTAGGGGATGTTATATATAATGCGCTTTATCCATTAGCGGCACCAGACATCATCTTTGGACCCGAAGATGAAGGCTTTCGTCCATACCCTCCGGTGAGTGAAGAAGGAGATTTGAAATCCCCGAAGAACGGTTTGTCTGATTGGAATTGCAAAGACCCAACTCGCCTGTTGTCTCTCATTCTTGAACTCAGGTTAATTCACCCTTTTTCTTTTTATGGGATAAAATTTCATTGAATTTACTAGTTTTGGGCGTTTTTAGCTAAGATTTTAGTAGGTTTTGCTTTGTAGGGAATTGTATATGACCTACCAGAAGAAGCGGGTTGGAGAAGTTGATGATGAGAGAGTGAAATTTGAAATTAGCACTATAGTTCCAAGAGAGGTAATTTTTTCGAAGTCTAAATGCCTCATTTCACAAAAAGAGGGAACATGAATGGAGTTCTTCTCTTTTCTTTGCATGTATAAGGTTTCTAGTCTACCTTTGTGATTGAAAGTTGTTTTAAATTGGGAAGCTGGAATGGAAGCGCTATTGCATATTGTCATTGAAATCTTTGATAACATTTTTTGATGAGAAAAATATACATCGTGCCTTGTGAATTGGTTTAGAAAACAAATTGTGTTACTACTGCATAATACTGATGACTATGACCTGACTCTATGATGAGTTGCATAACCTGCAAAAGTAGCTGTCTTGTTTCCCTCCGTTATGGTTCATAAAAATGTGTGAAGATGGTTGGAGAGAAATTGAGAAAAGCATTACATTATATGGTTAATGAGCCACATGCCGGGCTTTGTATCAAATGTTGAGGCCATAAACTGCAACAATCCACTTGGCATATTTTTCTTATGTCAATTGCAACCAAGAAGCCAAACATGGCATATGAGGGCCCAAATTGCTGCCAAGTAACCTAGGCCGGGACTGAGTGAAAATTTTCTATTGTTCAAGCTATAATCTTAGAAAAAATGTGGTCTGGAAATTTTGCTTGAAATAATAGATTGATTTAGAGGAAAATAGAGACATGCTCCCCTTCTCCTTTTCTCTTTGTTTTCCCTAGTTTTGAAAGCTTATAGTGCATTTGGGAAACTAATAGTGGTATACTTCTTTCTTTAGTTTAGATAGTTTAGGAGAAAAGAGTGTATTAAGGCCAAGTTTGGCAAGTTGAAAAAAAGTTAAAAATCCAAAAAGTTACTTAAAAAGTTAAAAAGTTATCACTATTCACCAAAAGTCAAAAATTACGGCTGCACAACTCCCAATCTTAATTTTCCCCTACATATTAATTTATACAAATTTTTAATACACATTTTTCTATAAAAAGTCAAAAAGTTAACGTAAACATCCATATTTTTTTTCTCAATTTTTTAGTCTAAAAAGAAAAAAAGTACAATAATTTAGGACACCCCAAACAACCCCTAAATTATGCCCTCTTATTTGGGAAAGATAGAAACAGTAAGGGAGCTTGGTTAGATTGCCTGAATTTGTCAGTCAATGAATTCAGGAGCTCATCCTTCTTTGAACTTTTAGCATGTGACAGATAAATCTAATTCCATACTGTTGTATACAGAAAGTGTGTAAAACTTTTACTATTGTGCTTTCTATTGTATAGTGTTTATATTTACACGGTGGATTATATTTTTCACAACATTTTCACTTATTTTCAGTGTAATTTAGGTTCACTTTTTTGTGTAATTTTAAGAAATGTCTAATTCATATACAAATTATTATGCATTTTTTTGTTCTTTTTGTTGGGCAGGATCTTACGATCCTTGAACCTATCCTATGATGATTCAATCCTATAAACCCCTCCAACGATCCCAGAGCTGCTTATAAGTGTTTCTTTCTCTCTGGTTTGTTGTGTTCTTCGTGTGAAATGCAATACACCACCAATCATACTTCTTTTTGAATGCATTCATTATTGACAATTAACGGCTTGGTTATGTTGGTTGATAATTTGATCCCCTCATTGGGCCATTGATATTTACTTCGCCATAATCATCTTTTCCGTTTATTTCTCAAGTTATTTGGATATTAAAAACATGATTGACTGAAGTTTGAAGGAGTACCTGTTGCCTTAAATTTATTTCAGCCTCGCTTAACATTTTCTTTACTTGCTTAAATCCACATTTCATTAAATCCACACTTCATTAGATATTGTTATTGTTGTTGTTTTGAGAAAGTAGATTGTTATCTAAACCTTAATCATCATGCTGCAGGGAATTGAAATGTACATGGGCACAGGTATTGAGAAGGTATTTTTAACAGGAACATCTTTGCATCTTTATAATTGATTTTATGAGCCTGTAAGAGGCAATCATATTATATTAGTTTTGACTGTATTACGGGTTTCTTTGCCTCTGTATTGTAGTGTAGACAGAAGAGGTAAAATTTGCAGTTCCTTTACTGGATATGGATATAAATAAAATGGTCACTGGTTGCCCCTGGCGTCACCAGCAGAAGATATACTTACAGGTTACTTTTCATATATCTTTTATTGGGAAATATACATGTATGCAATTTTTCAGACCAACATGCTTATGGGAGCCTCCTTGGAAGTCAAAGGAAAGTACTGATTGCCAAATTAATGAAACAAAACTTAGGGAGTGTAGATCTTCTCTTATATCCTGGAAACTGGAAAAAGAAATATGGTTTTGAAAATAGTCCTCACTTTTGAAAGTGGAGGTGGCAACAACTTCGGAAGACTCAATTTTCTTCTATTTCTTTTCTTCTAAGTGAAAATTAGGAATGGGTTTTCTTCCTATTATTTAACTTTCCACTAGTCACTTCAGAAATAGGAAATTTCTTTGCCAGTCGCTGCAATCTATCTTGTCAAAATATAGTGACACTTAATTACTCGTTATCGATCCCAACTGGAATGAGTAACCAGTTATAAGGATTTTTCTATATTGCAGATTCTGAAAACTATCATTTCATTGTTTCTCTTTCTCCCTTTGCTTTATATTTTAAGCAGATTCGATGGTGGGTGCAGGTTATATTTCCTATTGGCAGAAAATATGTGCCTGCCCCTTCAGCCCCACGATTAAAATTGGTATCTTCTCCTGAGCTGAAGGCTCTATTTTCCATTGAAGATTTCAGGCTTCCCGCATGGTTGGAGGGAATGTATGTATAGCATGCAGTTCTTTTTCTTCACATTACTTTTTTTCTGAGGTCAAATTAGCAAATTTCAGCTATTATTTCTCTTCTCTTGAAAGGTGCATGGCCGAATATCTTCCCACTTTAGAAGAGATGCTTCAGTCACAGGTCAGCTGCATTATTGATCAGCTTAGCTGACAACTTGAACATTCCTTTAGTTGATGATGTTTTCAAGTGAACGGCTTGTATATCAACAATCAGTGATATGGCTTGAAAGATTTATTTATTTATTTATTTTTGGTTTTATTTTAAAGATTGTAGATGCAGTTTCATCTATCGATGTTAGAAGGATGTTTATTGTGTCACTAGTTCCTCTATTTGGACGGCCGGTAGAAGCTGATCCGGTATAGATCCTTTTACATTATGTAATTGATTCAATATTTAGACCGATTAAACAAAATTCTGATTTCTCTTTGATTTGGTTGGCAGGTCTTTTGTAGAAAGGCAACATATCTGGCTTGTTCTGGGGTGTTTACATTTTTGGTAAGATATAGTTATATAATTTCATATTTACATGATGGGGACTCTTTGATTTTTTACTAGTTAATTCATGCAACATTTCTGAGCTATTTTATTGTCAATCTGATGTCTTGCTAACATTGCTTTAGATTTTTATGTAACATGATATGCTGTACCTTTTTCACTTAAATGTCCATGTCATTTACATGGATAGTTCTTCTTCCCCTCCTCTTTCTTAGTTGAAGCACCTGTATGGATATTGACATTCCAAAATATATATCAACAAATTTACAGCAAGTGCCTGTGTGGTTTGCTCTTTGATTTCACAAGTAAGAAATGAGAAGAAATATTTTATTTTTGAGGCATCTCTCACCTACTATTGTGTTAAGAGAGTAAATATTGTAGTTAACTTCCAAATAAACAGATTGATGTAGTTCCAAAAAAAAAAAAACAAAAAAACAGATTGCTGAGTTAGTTCTCATTTACTGAACTTTCTTGGAGATAGCTAAAAACACAAGGAAAGTATTGTGATGATGCACCTGGGGGGCAGCTCCCAGGCAAAATATTCAGTGCTAGACTGATAAGGGAAAGTGATGACACCACACAGATTATCATTTTATTGTACAATGGATAAGCACTGGTGTAAAGAGATTTTATTAGGAGTGCCAGACTAGTTCTTTGAAGTTGTGAAAAACATATGGTCTTGTAATAGTTTTCTGGTCTCATAATATCACCACATGTTCATTGTTCAGTTTTTTTATTGTCATGTGACTCCAATGCTGTTGCTTATTTCTTTACTCTAAACGCAAAGTTTGATTGGGAGTCTGGTTCCTGTAGGTGCATTTTTCCCTTCCACTCCAGTTCCCAAAGCAACAACCAGCTTTGATACTTCAAAGTTCCCAGGTAATGATATAAAAATTATATATTATATGTTTTCTCTTCTCTACTTAAGCTTATTTATATTTTGTTGCAACACATGCATGCAGCCAAACTAGTGCATTTTGTTCTTCTGCATGTGCACTGGATGAATTTTTTGATTATCAAGCTACGGTTTCATTTTTAAATTTTGACTGCTTAGAAAGTGAATCTTAACAGTGTACTGGTTAACTTTACCGCTCTATTATGCTGCCCACTCGGCTAATCAGGAGAAGGAAAGAGGGTTTTAGAAATCAATAACTCTTTTAAGTTATTTATTGTTGACATGTGCCTGCGTAGTGTGTGATTCTGCTATGCTTTTTAGTTCTTCTCTCTTTCCTCCTTTTTCCACCAAGAAGGAAAACTTTGTAATATTGTGCTCTCTATCGGAATTAATATGATTAGCCTGAAGAATTTGTACTTGTTATAACTTTTTCCTCTTTCCTTGTGATTTTTGTAATTGTTTTTTACTATAAAGAACCTTCAAATCCTCATATACTACGATTGCTGTGGTTACAGCAATATTTTGTTAGTGCTGGTGAGTGATAGGAAGAACTGTTTCGATTTTACACATCTTTTTCATCATTCTGCTGAAATATTGAAGTTTAAAATGAAATTCACATTTATGATTGGGTTACACTTTTTTCTTTACCCCTTTGTAGCATTTCAATTCTCATGGTGCACCCATCAAGTCACCTATTTTGACGGAGTTTCCATGGAGTCCCAGATGGGAATCATCAGAAATGGCTGAGCGGATGTAGTGAGTTTTTCCTTTCATCCTACCTTTTTCCTTGAGTTTCCACGAGGTATGTCACTCCCATACCTAATTCTGATGATCCAAATGATCTTGGCAGTGATTTTCTGGTGGAAGAATGTTTGAATTTCAAGAAGTTCTGCAATGAGAGTATGCTTCAGCAACGTTAGTGCAGTGCGTTGGAGACACTTTTAATGTTCCTTGAGCTCTCACCCTTGTGAATAGAGGAAGACAATGTGTTAGTACAGTTTGAGACAATTTGGGATTGAAAATGATTCTCATGTGTGAGATGGAGGAAAAAATCAAGAACATTCTGACTTTGTGATTGTAATTCATGGTGAGCATTGAACTTCTTTTGACAGAATGATCCGGGTGAAAGGCTGTATGAGGGAAGTTTTTCTGATTTGCTTGTGTGTTTGTTTTAACTGTTCATCTTGTTTCGCTTAGTGCTAAAAAAAATAGTTTGTCTTTGGTGAATTTTTTTTAAAAATTGTGTAAAATGTTTTTACATGTTTGGTCCTTCTATTCTAGAAAGATTTGAAAAAGTAAAAAATAAATAAATAAATAAATAAAAATTGAAACAATTTTAGAAATTCACTAAAGTGATATATCAGCTTACTTGAATTTTTTAAACAACACAAAAATAATAATTTTTAACAATTTTCTCAAAAGCATAATTTTTTTCTTTTAATTAAATTCAAGTGAAAAAAATAGTAAAAATGCAATTCTCAAACCAAACCCGGCGTCAATGTCAGAAGTATTTTATGAGCCTAAGAATAATAGTAATTATGATAAAGTTGAGATTAGGAGAAGATATCCTTGAAAGGAAGCTGAGGATAGGATAAAGTTACTTTAAAATTAAAAAATAATAATGACTAACTAACTAAATTAGATAAAGTAATTTTTAGTTAAAATATACCAACAACAAAATCCCAAAAAGAAAAACACACAAAAATGTAAACTAATTTTGGTGAGAATGCTCTAAAGAAGCACAATATGCAAAAAAGGTCTTTCAAAGGAAATTGAGATTTGTTGAAAGTTCACTTTCAATTAAAAAACCTAGTATTACTTACAATAATTTCCTTTCTTTAAGGTAAACCAAATTTTTTTTTTAAATTTTTTTTAAATAGCAAATAAATAATTGTTACAGCCCATGCAAACTCGGTTTTTATATAATTTAATAGAAATGATTGATGAAGGGTTGAAAAGTCTATTTGTAAAATGTACGCACCTATAAAGAGCAAGAAGTCTCAACATTTAGAAAAAGTCTTATAATTTTATTTAAAAATATAATAATATGCTGATGAAAAATTGAATTTGAATTACAATATTATTTATCTGGATAACATTTTTTGTATTTTGTTCTAAATAGCTTTAGGTTGAGATATAGTAGTAATTTTCGGAAAATAAAAAAACCAAATAATTTTTTTTGTTTTGAGGTGGGTTGGAATTTGGAGGCTGACGGGTAAACGGGTTGTCGGACAAACCCGCCAACCATTGGCAGTTGTCTGTCATTCCCAGGCGTAGAAATCGTGAAGTTAAAAAACTGTCTTTCCAAAAATAACGCGACCCACAACAGAACGAAGCAGCGGTGCGCACGTGGGGCTCACACTCTTAACGTGCACCTCGTCTATCTCCTCTCCTCTCCTCCTCCGAGCGGTTATCTTATCGTGTTAGTCTCCTCCTCCCTCCATTGTCACCTCCTCTCCTCTCCTCACATCACACACTCCACTTGAAATACCCTCCGAATCTCCCTCACGTCCCTCCACCTCGCTCTACATTTCTCTCTCATGATTCATATATGATATGACCATTTAAATTAATCATCTCATCACAAACAATCTAAAAAAAAAAACAATGAGGGAGATCTTGCACATTCAAGGAGGCCAATGCGGAAACCAAATCGGTGCCAAGTTCTGGGAAGTGATCTGCGACGAGCATGGCATTCAACCTGACGGCCATTACAAGGTCGACGGAGCACCCTCCGATCTCCAACTGGAGAGGATCAACGTCTATTTCAATGAGGCTTCTGGTGGCCGCTACGTCCCCAGGGCGGTCCTCATGGATCTCGAACCCGGTACCATGGACAGCATCAGATCGGGTCCCTACGGCCAAATCTTCCGCCCCGATAACTTCATCTTCGGCCAGTCCGGTGCCGGCAATAACTGGGCCAAAGGTCACTACACTGAGGGCGCTGAGTTGATTGATTCTGTTCTCGATGTTGTTCGCAAAGAAGCTGAGAATTGTGATTGTTTGCAAGGTAACTTCCATCTTCTTTGTTTTTACGTCAAACATACACTACACATGTATCATCATGTATGTATGCATCTATCTATCCATCTATCAATCATATATATGGAAAATTGTTTGTTCAATGCTTATGTAGATATAATTTTGTTTATTTTGGTTTCATTTGTGTTTTGATGCAATTGTTTGCGAGAAGCGTGGTTTAAATCTATGTACCTCACATTGTAGATTGAAAATTCACAGTTTTGTTTATTTTGGATTCAAGTTATTGTATACAACAATTTTATATTATGTACATTATTTGTGCTTTGATGCAATTGTTTGTGAGAAACGTCCTTCCTTTTTTTTTCAGAGGAGCATTTGATTTATGATTACATATTTGCAGTATTTTTCCTAACCTGTGCATGCATCAATATCTATTAACCTTAGCCTTAACGCATATTGGGTAATTTGCCTAACTGATGATGCATGCATCAATATCTCTTAATCTTAGCCTCAATGCATATTGGCATCAACTGCTATATTTTTGGATGCCTATGCTTATGAACTGATTCTGATGACTACCAAATTTGATCATCGTCATAGTCTTTTGTGCATTCAGGTAATTTTTTAAAAGCAATTCTGAAATATATTAGTTTAAGTTTCTCCCTTACCCCCAGAATTCTCATTTCAAAAATGCTAAATATATAGAATTTTTACAAATAAATTGATATAAACCATTCCATATAAAGTTTTTGTATACATTTTTTTTTTTTTTTTGAGTATAGCATTACCACTATGCTTTTTATTTCATAAAGACAGAGTTAAGACAATGGAATTGGTTGTAGTTGTTAAACTCTCATATGCTTCTTGCTTTTGCTCATTAATGCTGTGTTTGGTTGGGGGATTTGGGGAGGGATTTGGAAAGGGAAAGGGAAAAGGTGTGTGAAATTATATGAAATGTAGGTATATTTTTTTCACATTTCACCTACATTTTCCATGTTCCTTTCCAAATCTCTCCTCAAATCTCTCAACCAAACACAGCATAAATTTGATTAAACATGTATCAATTCCGTGAAATAGGATTGGCACATTCATTGAAAAAGCCAACTAGAAGCATGACTTTTGGCAGGGGATTAGAAGAATGGTTCTCTATATTTTGTGTTCTTGGTGTTCACCTTTATTTGTTGTATAGTTTGTCTCACTTATGAATGCAGATCATATTAAGGAAGGCTTGTCACTGCATTATTGCATAGTCCTTATATTTTTATTTTTAACGTTGTATTTCTTATCTTGAATGGAATTTCCAAATTTTTCATTAGTTGGTTGTACGTTTTCTAGATTTCTATTCACAGCACTTTGCAATAATCAAATTAAAATTGCTCCAAATAACAAAGTTGCAGTTCTTCTAGTTTAAGTTCCATTATTGATTTGTTAAACATGTGATGCTGAGAAGGTGGACCCCTGTTATGATACCACCAGTTGGGTCACTTTTGTTTGTGTGTGGACATTTTTAATAAAATGAACATATATAATGTATATAAAATAGTAAGAGCATACCAATCACGTTGATTTAGCAATGTCGGATTCAGTAGCACCGACAATTTTTCTTCTTTTACCAAGTTGAAATTAACAGTGGCCAAAACAAAAGGAGGTATTGACAAAGCAAACAGTGCATTGTTGGTTGTATGGTCTGCATTGCTGAGCAGCTACACCCTGGCAAAATAGCTACACCCTATGAAGTTTTTCCTGTAGAAGTTTGTATAATCATTGTTGGATTTATCGGGGCCTAGTTGCTAGGAAGTAAATAACTTTGAACAACTTGGAGAATATTGAGCAACTCCTTGTATAATACTGATATATGACCAAGAAAATCATGCATTTTTCAATCTTTGGGCTGGGGTATTGATTTTCAGATTTCGGACCTGCATTTGAGTATGAAAAACAAATAGACAATTAGAAGCTGGGTGGTATATAATTTTGCATCCGTAAATCTTCACATTTGTTGATAACTCTTTGGAGTAAATTGAAGTCATTTTTTGAGATAGGATGAAAAAACAGGATCTGTTTAGTGGCTTGTTTTGTTATTAATGTAATACACATTGCTTTTTTCAGATAATCAAGAATATTGTTCCTGTTATATAATAGTCCCCTAAATAAAAATGGTGGTGGTTAATTCAAAACTGCTTGATGTGGCTGTGCTGTTCTTGTTTATGGGTCAGGTTTCCAGGTGTGTCATTCGCTTGGAGGGGGCACTGGTTCCGGCATGGGAACCCTCTTGATCTCAAAGATAAGGGAGGAATTCCCAGACAGAATGATGCTCACATTCTCTGTTTTCCCTTCCCCAAAGGTTTCCGACACAGTTGTTGAACCCTACAATGCCACCCTCTCAGTGCACCAGTTAGTAGAGAACGCTGATGAATGCATGGTCCTTGACAATGAAGCACTGTACGACATTTGCTTCAGGACATTAAAGCTCAGTAATCCAAGCTGTAAGTACTATTCTACTTGTACATTATTAGTAGGGCAAATTATAGTTGTAGTTCCTGTAATTTATTTCTTATGTCAATTTGGTCTTTTATGGTTCTACCTACATCAATTTTCTCTTACATTCTTCACATTGTGTCAATTTAAATCAATTTTCTCTTACATTCTTCACATTGTGTCAATTTAATTCAACTGATAACATTTTTTTAGAAATTGGACTGAAACTCTCCTGATTGATTAACATTCAATTTGAAATAGACCATTTCTATCTATATAATTTGCCCTTCTTGTTACAAACCCATAGGGGCTCCATGCTGAATACTAAAAGCTTATTGTTCATTGCATCTTTGGTTTGCAGTTGGTGACTTGAACCACCTGATTTCTGGAACAATGAGTGGGGTAACTTGCTGCCTGAGATTTCCCGGCCAGCTGAACTCTGACTTGCGAAAACTGGCTGTGAACCTAATCCCATTCCCACGTCTTCATTTCTTCATGGTGGGCTTCGCACCCCTCACTTCTCGCCGGTCCCAGAACTACGTATCCCTCTCTGTCCCTGAACTCACTCAGCAAATGTGGGACGCAAAGAACATGATGTGTGCAGCTGACCCACGCCACGGACGCTACCTAACAGCCTCAGCCATGTTCAGGGGAAAGATGAGCACTAAGGAGGTGGATGAGCAGATGATCAATGTCCAGAACAAGAACTCATCATACTTTGTGGAGTGGATTCCAAACAACGTGAAATCAAGCGTGTGTGATATTCCGCCAACAGGGTTGAAGATGGCATCAACATTTGTTGGGAACTCAACATCGATTCAGGAGATGTTCAGGAGAGTGAGTGAGCAGTTCACAGCGATGTTTAGGAGAAAGGCATTTTTGCATTGGTATACAGGGGAAGGGATGGATGAGATGGAGTTTACAGAGGCAGAGAGCAACATGAATGATCTGGTGGCGGAGTACCAGCAGTACCAGGATGCAACTGCCGATGATGAGGAGGTGGGAGAGTTTGAGGAGGGTAATGAAGAGAATTATGAGGGCTAAATACTTGCTGAAGCAAGTCTGACTAAGGCTGTTTAGCTCCGAAACAAAACTCTGAGATTTTGATGGAATTGTTTCGCTTGTCTTGCTTATATACCACCACTATTTGGCTATCATTCTTTTCTTTTCTTTTATTTTCTTTTCATTTTGTGGCATTGTTATTCTCCTGTGACACTTTGAACTTTGTCACTGTTCTGTTTACGTATTGGAATATATATAGATGTTGCTGTTTGTTCCATTCAATTCAAGAATTTCAAAACTCATTCGAATTTCACTGTCAACTTGATTATTATTTTCTTCAGAATTAGAAAGCCGGTAGCCATAATCAAAAGCCTCTACATAATATCATATTTACTTTCTAATTCGGGATTTTTTTTTTCCCCAACTCCATTTATGCATAAGTGTTTTATGAGATAATAACAAATCACAAATTCAACCCCAAAATGGAACAAATTTGAACAATCATTGAAATTTTTGTACAAATTTCTGTATTTGATGTTTTTTTTTTTTTGGGAAAAGAAATAGTGGTGGGTGAATTAATGGTTTACTGCATATGTTGGTTTTTCCAATTTTAACATAATCAATAGTGTGTGTGGTTATGTGAAAGGGTATTGGGTTGTAATGTTATGTTTTGTTTTGTTTTTGGGCCAGGCTAATCAATATTCTTTTTTGGGGCTAATGCTAACAAACAAGTGCTAAAATGGAAGTCTAATGGTCGGGCTTTTCACGTGACTCTCTCACGGACTGACATGTTGGCCAAAATCCAAAATTCAAGCCCAGACCCAACCCAAGTATTATTATACAAACTAGTCTAGCTCATGGGAAATGATGACCACACAATTACATGGACAAAATACAAATAACTCCCTAATACAAAGAAGATGGTCATTTTTCTATTCATATTACTAAATATATGAATTAAAATTTTATGAGTGTGATATAATTATGCTAAAACAGTTAAGTTGGCAATAGAGCTCCTGTAATTTACATGTCTAAGTACTAAAATTAAACAATACAATAATGATAATATTAAAACTATGTACTCAATTAAAATACTAATAACAATTTTGTTCCACTAAATTCAGATCTGCACTACATATTTAAATTGAGAATATTTTACCAAACATTTTGTTTAGTGCGTAGCATATCTAATTTCTAACACAATAAAGCTATGCCAATGATATAAAATCAATATCAATTTAGAGAGCTATTTTAATGAGGAAGAATGAAAAACCCAAAAAAAAAAAATTGATTTATTACATCATCACCGTGGTGGTTTGATGGCTGCAACAGCGCTCTTCATCTCTTTGATCCTAACCATTCTTCTCTTCCTTGCTTCTGCAGCTTTAGCTCTGTCATCTGTAACAGCTCTGTTATGATCCAACGGTTGTGAAGAGTCCGTCCCAAAAGTCTCCTCTACACTGGCAACTACGTTAAGATCAGGAATGCTGGTTTGCAGTTGGACCAATATGGTTGACATTGCCCAATCGGGAGCCTGATGACATCAATGGGGACACGTGGCCAAATGGGTACTGAAAGTTCTCACTTGTGTGTGATCCATAGGATTGTTGTTGATGATGATGATGATGATGAAGAACCATGCAATGAATTTGAGCATTTTCAACCAGAGTTGATTGGATTACGGGTTGGCTTTCCATCCCAAATTTTGAGCTTTTGTTGAATCTTAGCTGTAAAAAATAAAAAAAAAAGGGATAAAAACAGAAATAAAATAAACACAGAGACCCCACTTCATAAAAAGATTTAAAAAAAATAAAATAAAATTAGAGAGAACTCATCATCATCATCAAAAATAGTTTATGATGAAAACCATGAACTATTCAATGTTTATTACATCCATTTTTTATATTTTTTTTTTTCACACAAAAAAATAGTTTATGAAAATTGAAAAGCATTCCCTAAAAGTAAGGTGTGTGTTTCAAAGTTTATTTCTAAAATAAATTTTAAGATCAAAACAGACTGGAATCTGTCTTACCTTTCGTTTCTTTGCTTTCAACTCCAAATTAAGAGTCTTTAGCTTGTTGTAGTAACTCTTCACAGTCTCTATCTCCTGTGTGAATTGAACACAACAAAAAGGGTTTTAGTTTTCTTTTCTTTTCTTTTAATAGTACAGTGAAAAAAAAATCCCCCAAAAAATAGAAGATAATATAGTGACAGAGACATGGGTGAGAAAAATTAAACAAACAGACAAAATCCACAACCACAAATTTACATACTTACCCCTCTCAACAATTCTCTGCGCTGAATTAATCTCTCTGTAATCTCCAACCACTCCTCTTTCTTCTGCAAAACCATCAAGAACAAGAAGCTCAGAGAATGTAAATCATCAATACACAGAATATATGTATATATATAGATATAGATATAGATATAATTGAGACCGACCCAGAACAGGGGACACCTTGAAAACATCAAAACAAGATTTGGAAACCAAATGGCAGACAAAACCCAACTCTTAAAGAAAATTAAACTATTAAAAAAACAGAGAAAGATTGAAACAGAGTACAGATTTGGGAATATGGAGAGAGAGAGAGAGAGAGATAAAGAGAGACCCTTTTCTTAGAGAGTTTCTTGCGAGAGTGGTTGGACTTGTAATCAGATTCGCTGGGAGAGAAAGAGAGAGGAGTAGAGGGACTCGATGCCTCGGTCTTGATTTTTTTGGGTCTTCTCTCTGTGTCGGTCTCTCTGTGAAGATGTGGCGATGAGGGACGAAGACGAGGAAGAGGCAGTGGGTTGGAATCGATTGCAGATCTCCTTCTCTTGACACCCCACCCGGACGCAAATCGAAGACGAGACTCCGATTTGAAGATTAGATTTGGAAGATTGACCAAGATTTCAGCCACTTCTATCTCATCTTCACCGAACAAAGACCAGAGACTGCTACTAGTACTCTGTTTCATTGTTTCAGTAAAATCCCATCAACAAACAAAAGGTACCACAGACCATAGAGAGAGAGAGGGTGTTGCTTGGAGAAGAGAGAGGAAGAGGGTCTTATAAGGGAAATCCATGGAGAGTATGTGGAAAATGCCACGTGTCAAGCAAAGAAAGAAAGGAGGGTTGGTCTAGGGTTTAGTGTGTGTGTTTTGTGTTTTTGTGTGTGTTCAGTACAAAGAAGTTATTGATTGGTTTTGGTGCACTGATGTTTTAATGGTACTGTAATTGGTATTATAATTGGCAATACAAGTTAAATGATTTTGTATTATAGGATTAAAAAATATAAAAGGATATAATGAATTGTGATTAGCGAGAGTTTGGTCATGTTCAGTGCATCTTTAAATTTATAAATTTAAAATTCTTGGTAACGTTTGGTTTAATTTTAGAATTATGATTTAAGAATAGAGTTATATTTTGAATTTGTGAATTGTTAAATCATGATTTGAAAAGAAAAAATTTATTTGGCTATAAGTTTTTGAAAAGAATTTTGAATTAAATTTTAAATTTTTGAAATGAGTTTTGAAATAAGAAAAGTTGTTTTGTTATAAATTTTAAAAAGAATTTTTAAAACTTAATTCAAAAACTTATAACTCATAAATAAATACATAACTCAAAATTCTATTAAAAATTATATTCAAAACTTATAACCAAACTCTTTTTAAAATTCAATTCAAAAAAATATTTTTTTATTTAAAAAATTCAAAATATTTTTTTATTTAAAATATTAAAAAATATATATTATTTTTTGTTTAAAAAAATATTCAGCTAGTACTTTATTGTATATTTGATTAGATTTTTTTTATAATTGTTTTGTTTAAAAATGTATATTTTTTATTTTTTTAAAGTTACTGTAATAATTTAATTTTTATTTAATTTTTTGCTTAATTTTAAATAAATGGCCAAATAATTTGTCATTTTGGTCCAAAAAAAAAGTTCTATATTTTAAACATATCAAAAACAAATATAATTTTTTTTTCAAATATCAGGTAGCAATTGCAAAAAAAAAACTGTTCCGATCAACCGGCCAGACGTCATAAAGGATGTCCGAGGGACCCAATTTCAAAATTTAAAATTTAAAACTCACTCAGCCAAACATGTTCTGAAAAGAATTTTCAAATATAGGTATAAAATCAATTTTTGAAAACTATATCTAAACACAACACTACGTTTGGTTTGAGTTTTCTGGATTAAGTTTTTTGAAAATCGAGTTTTTTGGTTTTCGTATTCTTTTGTTTTTAGTGAATATTTTTTAAATTTTAAACATTTTTTTACTTTTTTAGATGCACCTTAGTTGTATCTAAAAAGTAAAAAAATTGTGAAAAAATATTTTTAAAAATTAATAAATACATAGAAATATAAAAAATATACTAAATTCTTGTATTTTTTTATATTTTTGGTATTTAGTGAATTTTTAAAAGATTTTTTTTACAATTTTTTTACTTTTTAGGTGTATTTATGTTAGGTGTGTCTAAAAAGTAAAAAAAATGCTTAAAATATTAAAAAAATTCAGTAAAAATAAAAAACACAAAAAATAAAAAAATAAAATTTTCTAAAAAGTATTTTTTAAAAAATGAAAATAAGCAAAGCTAGGATTGTGGAATTATGATTCCAAGGCTAAACCAAACAGAGCCTTTATTTGTCACGCTCATTGAAAGCGCGTGTGTTATGACACTTGCCCATTTTGGTAATTTTCGAGCCCTTAAAAAATGGAAATTAAGTCATTAATTGCCCCGTTTTATTTTTTAATTCGTTGCTGTATTTGGTTTATTATATCCGTTTTTATCTTCCAGCTGTGTCCTTGCTCGTGCTGTTTATTAATTCCTTGAAGAACAAGTAAAAGAAACCCTAATTATAATTCTAAAGGATTTGTAATAACGATATATGATTTTATTATATTATAATATGTACAAATTTGAAGCTTATTTCTTAAATAAAAGGGTATAAATTTATTTTTTTAGTTGCCTATAAAATATTAGTATGCATTAATAATTCTATTTATTTTGTGTTTAATTTTAAATTTAACAAATTCAAGATTCAAATGTACTCTTTATCTTTAGTAAGATATAATCATTTTCATGTGCACATATATTAGTGAACATGTACTAATCATTTTTTATTATGATGCATTAAAACTTTAATATACATTTAATATTATAATAGCATAATACACATATTATGCATGGTCATAAATAAATAATTAAAAAATAATTTTTAAAAGGGTGGTTTCGTTGACTATCACAATGTACTAATTAAATACATTATACAAGTGTTTTTACCCTTTTTTTTAATTTTAAATATAGACTTTAAATGTAATAATTAATGGTTAGAA